TGAAGCAGTTTGTACTTATCCAGAATGATGGCCCATTTTTAGGCATTTGTCTTTGGCTTCAGTTGCTTTTGAGGCAAGTGAAGAGAGTGGACTGGATTCGTGTTTGAAATAGTTTCTTTAGCCAATCATATCATAATTTTTGTTAATATTTTTATTCTTTATGTTGGCTACTTAAATTTACTTTATTTTGATAATTTCGTTATTTTTTTAATTCTAAAAGTTTTTCACATGGGCTCTCTTTTTCCTGTTTTATTACTGTGATTTTAGGAAAACATTCGTCAACAGTAACAGTTTTGACAGTAAAAGAAAGAGTCTAGAGGAGGAAGAGAGAAGAGTGGAACTTAGTTTTTCAATAGAGTTCCCAAAACCGAGTGTGTGCTGGCCAATTTGAAGTAAATTTACTGCAATCACAAATCATAAACACGTAAAAAGTGTTCTACGGGAGATATAAAAAAGTTAACGAGTTTCCTTACACTACTGCAGGAATTAATATTCAGACCAAAAATTTGATCTGTATAATCTAAAAATCAGTTTGGAAAATAATATCTAGATCAATATCGGTCCATATAATTGAATCGAAAAAACCTAGTATGAAAAAATAAAATATACAGATAGACAAAAAATTAGTTTGTAAATTAAACTATTCACACCGAAACCGGACCATATACTTTGGTAAAAAAATTTAGGGGGTGAGTATAAAATTGAAATTTACGGATCGTAAATGGTCCGGATGTTAAGATTATAATAAATAATTTAATAATTACAGACCACAAACGATCTGAATAATCAGGGAAATAATTGCAAAAAATATATTCAAATCGATATTGGTCTAAATATATACATCCTTTTTCGTAACAGTGAAAAAATTGCGTGTGAATGGCAATGAAAACTATATTCAGACCGATAACGGTCTGAATATATTAGACTCAGATGTAAATTGTGAAATATCTACTGCCATATTGTCGTAACATCGAAAATATATCCAAACCATTTTCGGTTTGTATAAAAAGGACTTACATGTAAATTTTGAAATATTTGCTGCCATATTGTCGTACCATCGAAAGTATATTCGGACTGATTACGGTCCGTATAAAAAGGACTCATATATAAATTCTGAAATATTTGCTGCCATATTGTTGTGCCATCGAAAGTATATCCAGACCAATTACGGTCCGTATAAAAATGACTCAGATGTAAATTTTGAAATATTTGCTGCCATATTGTTGTGACATCGAAAGTATATCCAGACCGATTACAGTCCGTATAAAAATGACTCAGATGTAAATTTTGAAATATTTGTTGTCATATTGTCGTCCCATCGAAAGTATATCCGGACCAATTACGATCCGTATAAAAAGGACTCAGATGTAAATTCTGAAATATTTACTATCATATTGTCGTGACATCGAAAGTATATACGGACCATTTTCGGTCCGAAATTATAGTTAACACAAATAGAAAAAAAAAGCAATAAAAGAAGATTATCATTAAATGAAATAAAATATATTTATTTTTCTTGTTATTTACAGAATATTCCAAAATGCAAATTAA